TGCCTATCCAGGTAATATGTTTCCTTTTTTCTTTTAATTGGTTATGAATATTCATGAGATACAAAGCTGATTGTCACCCCTCGTACCCAAGATGTGAAGGTCAGATTCAAACTGGCAGCATACCCATTACCACAAATTGCGTTTGTACCCCATGTCCCCCACCCAATTATCCCCAACCTCCCTCCCCTCTCCCCTTTCCCCCCAACTCCACTTTGTGGCCCAAGGTATGTTCTTTCCCTCTGCAAGTCCAACATACTATTGTGGTCTTTCTTTCCTTCCTTCTTTCTCTCTTAGCTCCCACATATGAGTGAGCACATGCGGTATTTATCCCTCTGTGCTTTGCTTATTTCACTCAACATAAGTTTCTCCAGGTTCATTCATGCTGTTGCAAATGGGGGAATTTCATTCTTTTTTATGAAAGAGTAGTATTCAATGGTGTATATATTCCACAGTTTCCTTATCCAGTCATCCATCAGAGGACATTTAGGTTGGTTCCATGTCTTGGCTATTGTGAACAGGGCTGCAATGAACATGGGAGTGCAGGTATCCCTTCAATATGATGATTTCCATTCCTATGGGTATATACCCAGAAGTGGGATTGCTGGGTCGTATGGAAGATCTATCTGTAGTTGTTTGAGAAACCTCCATACTGTTTTCCATAGTGGTTGTACTAATTTACAGTCCCACCAACAGTGTAGGAGCATTTCCTTCTCCCCACACCCTCACCGGCATTTGTTATTCACCATCTTTTTGATTACAGTCAGTCTAACTTGGGTAAGATAATATCTCAGTGTGGTTTTGATTTGCATTTCTCTGATGACTAGTGATGTTGAGTACTTTTTCATGTACCTGTTGGCCATTTGTATGTCTTCCTTTGAAAAATGTCTATTCAGGGCCGGCCCGGTGGCGCACTGCCATAGTGCGCCGCTTGGGAAGCGCGGTGGCGCTGCAATGTTACTGAAGTTATTAACCAGCTCTAGGAGGTTTTTGATAGAGTCTTTAGGTTTTTCTATCTATAATATCATGTCATCTGCAAATAGAGAAAGTTTGACTTCGTCTTTTCCAATCTGGATGCCCTTTATTTCTTTCTCTTGCCTGATTGCTCTGGCTAGTTCCTCCAGTACTGTGTTAAATAGAAGTAGTGAGAGTGGGCATCCTTGTCTTGTTCCTTTTCTTAAGGGAAAGGCCCCCAGTTTTTCCCTATTCAGAATGATACTGGTGGTGGGTTTGTCATAAATGGCTTTTATTGTGTTGAGATACTTTTCTTCTACACCTAATTTGATGAGAGTCTTTATCATGAAGGGATTTTGAATTTTGTCAAATGCTTTTTCAGCATCTATTGAGATAATCATATGGTCTTTGTCCTTGAGTTTGTTGATGTGGTATATCACATCTTTTGATTTTTGTATGTTGAACCATCCTTGTGTCCCTGGGATGAATACCACTTGATCATAGTGTATAATTTTTTTAATGTGTTGCTGTATTCTGATTGCTAATATTTTATTGAGGATTTTTGCAGCTATTTTCATCAAGGATATTGACCTGTAATTTTCTTTTTATGTTGTGTCTTTATCTGGTTTTAGTATCAGAGTTACGTTGGCCTCAGAATGAGTTTGGGAGAGTAGTGTCTGTTTCAGTAGACATTTTCATTTTGCATTCAGGCTGTCATCTATTCCATGTCATGAGCCTTACCTACTCCCAATTTAGTGATCTTCCCCATTTCTGTTCCCTCATCCCCTAGATGTTTCTGCCTGTAGTAATTTTTAATGTCTCTTAAGATAAGAGCTTGCATCTTATTTTTATTACTCAAATACTAAGCATGAAGAAAATACTTAACCATATTAACTAATTGAGTGGGGGGGAGGAGAAGTATAGAAGAGTATTTTGCTTTGTTTCAGAAAGATTTTTTAAAATTCTACTGAGAGGAATTCAACAGATCATAGATTGTTATTGGAAAGTAAAGACACTGGCATCAGATATTAAAAGCTTTACCCTCTGTGCATTGTGTTTCTATTATAATAGAAGTGTATTAAAATGATTAGTAAAATGAATAGCATAGAGAATGTCTGTTTTTGAAGTTCAGGAAAAAAAGTCTTACTAGCAATATGACCAGATTAATTTTCAAAGAAAATACTCTTAAACTGCTTAATGAAGTACACACACGAAGAGGGCATGAACATGTCCTTTGATTTGAGAATGAACTGGACTTTTTTGGAGGCATTTTTGTGAGTGACAAGTAGAATGTAAGCTTACATGAGCAATTTTTCTAGATTGATGTTTTTGATTTAGGTACTGTTCATAGAATCTGTAGGCTCAGGAGAGGTATAGAGAAGGTTTTTATTGTGGGACCAAATTTTTTACAATGAATATTGATACTAGCGATCTAAATATCTGGTACAGCAAAGGGTTTATAAGTTAAATGAAGTGAAAAGCAGAACCACTTTTAAAATGATACCTGGGAATCCAGTGCTTAATATCTCCTGAATAAATTAAAGCCAAATGTGTGAGAATAAAAATGAAACTTAAAATAAGAGGGTAAGATTTGGGATGGTACATTTGTCTGGAGTACAGCATCAACTGACCATAAGGGGAAAACTGGATTTGATGACGCAGACCATTTTCAGTATCTAAAATCTCTTACCAATTTTTCATATTTCTGGCATCTTTCCTTTGGTGTTTAGTCATTGTGGCAGGGGGTATCATGGTCCACTCGTTCCACCCTGATGTCTGTCCTGGATCCTGAAGGGACTGCCAATTCTGCCCCGTGGGGCCTAGCTTGGGCTGGGGGTCCCACGGCACCTGCCTGTTCTGTTGCAGCTGACTCGGGGCATGTAGGCCTGGTGGCTCTCAGGCCTCTCTGGGAATCAGGGACTGGCCTGGGCTGGGGGTCCCATGGTGCCTGCCTGCTTCGGCATGGCTGACTCGGGGCATGTGGGCCCAGTGGCTCTCGGGCCTCTCTCGGCAGCAGGGACAGGCCTGGGCTGGAGATTCCGTGGCACCTGCCTGTTCCAGTGTGGCTGACTCAGGGCATGTGGGTCCGGCAGCTCTCAGGCCTCTCTAGGCAGTGTCACATGGCCACACCAATTTTCAAAGGAGGCTGAGAAATGTTATATGACTGGGCAGCCATATGCCTGGCTACTACTCTGTTAATGCTTAAGAATAGGGAATACTACTCTGCTATAAAAAAGAATGAAATACTACCATTCGCAACAACGTGGATGGACTTAGAGAAAATTGTATTAAGCAAAACAAGTCAGGCACAGAAAGAGAAATACCACATGTTCTCACTAATTTGTGGGAGCTAAAAATAAATAAATATACAAACAAATAAAGGGGGGGGAAGAAGACACAACAATCACAACAATTCCTTGAACTTGTTAAGACAAGTGAACAGATATGATGGGGGGGAGGGGAGAAAGGGAGGAAGGAAAGAGGAACGGGTAAAGGGACATGAAAATCAGCTACAATGTATATTGAGAAGTTAAAATAAAAAATAAAGTAAAAAAATCTCTTACCAAATAGTATGATTTTTCCAATTTAAAATTATTTATCAAGAATCTAATATGGGGCTGGCCCGGTGGCGCACTGGAGAGTGCGCCGCTTGGGAGCATGGCGGCGCTCCCGCTGAGGGTTCGGGATCCCATGTGGAGACCGGTTCCCGCTCACCGGCTGAGTGCGGTGCACTCGCAACACCGAGGGTTGCGACCCCGTTACCGGCCAGTAAAAAAGACAAAAAGGAAAAGAAAAAAGAATCTAATATGACTCATGCACTGTACTGGTAATAGAAACATCTGTGATACCCCCTCTAGGCAAGAATAGTATATGAATTATGTTAAAGTTAATTTGTAGTAATAAAGAGATTGTAAGATACAGTGACTTAAATACTAAAGAATTTTCTTTCTCTCTTATAGAAAACCTCTTTGCTCATGTTTGTTCAGGAATCCAGGTTCCTTCTGACTCATTACTCCACCACCTCTTAGGTGTGAATTTTTTTGTGGCATCTGCTTGTTTGAATGTACGTTGCTGCCAAGTCCAGGTTTTAGTAAGCAAGAAGGTAGAAGTGGATGTGGAGAAAACATGCCTCCTGTCTCAATGCTCTAATTTGAAAGTGGCACCCATCATTTTTTCACACATTTTATTGGTGAGAACATTGTCACATGGCCACACCAGTTTTCAAAGGAGGCTGAGAAATGTTATATGACTGGGCAGCCATATGCCTGGCTACTGCTCTGTTAATACATAAGAATAGGGAAATGGATTATAGTAGACAGCTTGCAGTCTCTACCACAGATGGCTTATCTTCTCTCCTATTTTATACTTCTTGCTAGATATTTATAATTTGGGTCCAAGAAAACCTGGCTGGAGAGTTAGACTATAGACCTCATTTATTGTTTGTATAGCTCAAGATGGCTATGACCACAATATTTTTCCTATAGACATGAATAAATTGGTTTTTATCATGTTAATTTGGTATTCTTGCTAATAGCAAGATGAAGCAATGAGATTAGTGAGGATTCAGAATTGAAAGCTAATGAGGACATAGACTCTGAGTTACTTCCTCCAAGCCTAGGCTCTCCACAGATATTTCCCCTGAATACCCTTTTCTCATCAATCTTCTGTCCATCCTACTTGATAGCCAAGCTTCCTACCAAAATAGAGCTAGACTGCTTCTGGTGAACTTCATCCTCTAACACTTAACCATTTTTTAGGGCAAATTATATAACCATTATGAGCTTCACTTTCCTTATCTACAAAAGGTGGATAATTATAGTAGATACCTCATAGGACTTTTGAAAGCATTAAGTGAATTCATACCTATATATTTCTTAGAACAGTGTCTGGAATATTGTGTCATATAAAAATGTTGGCACATAATAAGTGCTATATATGTATTTCCTGTCATCATCGTCATCATCATCATCAGATTTACTGATTTCCATGTGTTCAATCTTCTGCTGTCTATCCTTTGTGTCAATTTTACTTTTTCTTTCTCTTTTTAGATGGGAAGTTTGGGATTAAGAACTCACAAAAAAGAATTTCTGGAAAAGCTACATTTCATAGTGAAATGGAGGGTGAAGATACAAGAGATGATTCATTGTATTCCATTTTAAAAGAACTGTGGCAAGATGCTGAACAGATAAAGAGATGTCAGGGAAAACAAAACAAACCTCTGAGTCATGCTGCTTTCATCAATAAGAAAATATTGAATACAGAGTGGGATTATGAATATAAAGACATTGGAAAATTTGTTCAACCAAGCCCAACTCTTATTCCTTCACAGAAAAGACCCCATGAACGTGACTCATTTGGGAAGTGTTTTAAGCATAATTTAGACTTACAGATTCATAGTAAAAACAATGCAATGAAGAACTTTGATAAAATTATTGAACATGGTCAAGTTTTCACCCAGAGCTCTACTAACCATGAAAATATGCATACAGGAGTGAAATTCTGTGAAAGTAATCAGTGTGGAAAAGTCCTCAGCCTCAAACATTCACTCAGTCAAAATCTGAAATTTCCTGTTGGGGAGAAAGCAAACACATGTACTGAATTTGGGAAGATCTTCACCCCAAAGTCACACCTCTTTGCACCTCAGAGAATTCATACTATGGAAAAACCTCATGAACTTAGCAAATGTGTAAATGTTTTTACACAGAAGCCACTACTTAGTATATATCTGAGAGTTCATAAAGATGAAAAACTATATATATGTACTAAATGTGGGAAGGCCTTCATCCAGAATTCAGAATTGATTATGCATGAGAAAACTCATACCAGAGAGAAACCCTATAAATGCAGAGAATGTGGAAAATCATTTTTCCAAATGTCATCTCTGCTCAGGCATCAGACAACTCATACTGGAGAAAAACTCTATGAATGCAGCGAATGTGGGAAAGGCTTCTCCCTGAACTCAGCCCTCAATGTACATCAGAAAATTCATACTGGAGAGAAACATCACAAATGTAATGAGTGTGGAAAAGCCTTTACCCAAAAATCAACACTCAGGATGCATCAGAGGATTCACACAGGAGAGAGATCCTATATATGCACTGAATGTGGACAGGCCTTCATCCAGAAAGCACACTTGATTGCCCATCAGAGAATCCATACTGGAGAGAAGCCTTATGAATGCAGTGACTGTGGGAAATCTTTCCCTTCTAAGTCACAACTCCAGATGCATAAGCGAGTTCATACAGGAGAGAAACCCTATACATGCACTGAATGTGGGAAGGCCTTTACCAACAGGTCAAATCTCAATACTCACCAGAAGTCTCACACTGGAGAGAAGTCTTATATATGTGCTGAATGTGGAAAGGCCTTCACCGACAGGTCAAATTTCAATAAACACCAGACCATTCATACTGGAGAGAAACCCTACGTTTGTGCCAATTGTGGGAGGGCCTTCATCCAGAAGTCAGAATTAGTTACACATCAGAAAATTCATACTACAGAGAAGCCTTATAAATGTCCTGACTGTGAAAAATCCTTCTCCAAGAAACCACATCTCAAAGTACATCAGCGAATTCACACAGGAGAGAAACCATATATATGTGCCGAATGTGGGAAGGCCTTCACTGACAGGTCAAATTTCAATAAACATCAGACAATTCATACTGGAGATAAACCCTATAAGTGCGGTGACTGTGGAAAGGGCTTCACCCAGAAATCAGTTCTTAGTATGCATCGCAGTATTCATACATGAAAGTAATCATGTTTCTTGAAAATGAGAGAGCCTTATTGTAGAAGTCAGGTCTAAGTATATATTATAAAATTCATCCAAGACAGATCCTATATGAATACACTGCATAAGAAACAGCATTCATCAGGCTATCTCACCTGAGATGAGAAAAATTATTGAGAAGAGACCCTCTAAGAATGTGTTGAAGGAGGGGGAATTTCCATATTTGCATGGCCTCACAATATATGATTGAATTCATACTGGGAAAAATGCTGTCAGTTTGATGCATTAGGAATAGCCTTCCTACAGAAAATATTATAAGGCAAATTATTATCAAATTCTGTAGAAAGGAGGGTGCAAAATTATGTAAATGACAGTCATGTTTACTATGTTATATTAAGCAATTTAAAGTGACAACAAATGAAAGGTAGGACAACAAAATAGTGTAATTGATGTGTAGATCTACTCTCAGTTCTGGAGAGTGTTTGTGGCAGAACACATTGTATAACAGGTGGGACAATTGAATTGAAGTTCTTTTTTCAGACTTAGAGTAATACTGTCCATCAAATATGTTCCTTATTGAATATTTCTATCAAATGAATCCATAATTTAAGTTATTTTGGTTTTATATATGCATACATTTGCAGATATAATCTTACATGAACACATAAATATAATTCTATCATTCATACTGGTTTCCATGACACAGTATTCTTACATTCTTTCATTGTGGTACAATGCAAAATAGCCACAGATTCCTCTCATCCTTTTATGCATGCCCCTTTGCAATGTTACTTTGTTGTTTCTCTTATTAAGAAGTAGTATCTCTTTCTCTACTCCTTGACTTTGAACTTGGCTGTGTGACTTGCTTTGGCCAATGGACATTAGCAGAGATGTGAGAAGAGGCTTGAGAAATGTGAAAAGCCTGCCTGAGGCTTACCCTCTCTTTCTGCTCTTTGGAACTCAGATTGCCCTACTGGGGCATGTGAAACCACATAGAGCAGAGGTGAGCCAGCCCAACTGAGGCCCCTTAGACCAAGTAGCCTGCCAACTGACAGCCAAGCCAGCTCAGCCTAGAAGAGCCATACCAGTTATCTCAGCTAACCTGCAAAATTGAGATAAATAAAATGGTTATTTTTTAAGCATCTAAGTTTTGGGGTAGTATGTTGCATAGCAAATGATAAGTAATACTTAAAGTGTATGGGGGGAGAGGCGGTACTGTACCAAAACATGACATGTGGCATTGGCTTTGGGCCTGGGCAGCAGCAGCAGGTGGAGACTGGAGAAACAGTGAGGAAAACTGTTAGCAAAAGCTGGAAAAGATGGCAACCATTTTATTTAGTAAGGAAAAAAATGGCAAAACAGTCACCATGCTCTGTAGGAAGATAGAGAATATACCTAATGAACTTGTGAATCTGGCTAAAGAAATTTGAAGCAGAATATGAGAAGTGTCCATTTGCTTCTTTTAGCTGCATATGATGAGGTACAGAAAGAGAAAAGTGATCTAAGAAAATAACTGTTCCACTGGCAAGCAGAATTCAGAAGAAATACAGAAAAGCCAGGACTTGCTAGGTTGGAAAAGAACTGTTTCACATGCTAATCTCTCTAGCTATCAAAATATTCTCAAGGTAAGAAATGGCCTCAGGGTAAAGGTAAAATCATGGATGTATCTGTAAGACCCTTTATTACGATGTGTGAAATATTTAAGTTGGTGCTTGGGAAGCCCTCTCAGCTAAACCAAAGGGCTTTTAAAAATCTTCACAACATTGTCTCACAGTAGCCTGACAACGCTGCTCAAAGTAGAGAGAGGACTATCTTAAGAAGAATTGTTGATGTGGCTTTTGGGGCACAGAGTAGATTCAAACCAGATTGTTAGGAAACCCACGAAGTTTTTAATAGATTTTTACCAGTGAAACTATCTCCAGGTTGGACTTAAAGGGACTGAAACAGTTTAAAATAAAAAGTGGCCTCTGGACTCCCCTCCCTAACTTCTATGAACAGGACGCAAACTGAGAACATTACTCAGCTACAAACATGGGCCATTTCTTATGTGAAACAAAGGACATCTCAGAGGACCCAAGAACAATATATTAAAATGAACTGGGGAGCCATTCCCAGGAAGTACCGTGTCTTAACCAACATTATCTGCACATGGACCTGGAGGAACTGACAACATCTGCTTAGTAGGGTTTCAAAATTGTTATGGAGCAGTGACTGATATGTGCCTCTTGTTCCTCCTCTTCTTGAATGGGAGGTCTATTGTAGTTATCCTGTATATAAATATATATATGTATGTGTGTGTATATATATATGTATGTATATGTATGTGTATATATATACATACATATATATATATACATATATATATGTGTCATGTGTTGGGGGAGTGGGTCTTACAACTTCATATAACTTGTCATTTAGCATACAGGTGTCTAGATCAAGAAACTGAGAAACTGTACCCATGGAGCCTCAGCCACATCTGAATATGAGACAGAAGACTTGAGATCCTGGATTTGAGCTTGATGCCATAATTTTGGATGAGACATTTGGAGGTCCTGGGATGGGGGTGAACATATTTTGCATGGGTGGTAACGTAAATAATTTGTGACCAGAAGACATACTGTGTTAGATAGAAAAATGCTATAAATTTCTCACATCCCTTTATGTGTGTCCCTTTTTAATGTTTCTCTTTGAGTTTCAGTTGGGATAATTTCTTTTGATCTGTCTTCATGTTCACTGATTTTCCTCCCACTCTGTCTCTGTCAAGTCTACTGATGAACCTACTGAAGGCGTTCCTTATCTCAGTTATGTTTTCTTTTTATTTCTAATATTTCCATTTGACTCTGACAGGTTTCACATTTCTGCAAAAATTTCCAATCTGTTCATGCACGTTGTTCATATTTTCCACTATACCCTTTGTCTTAAGTCAGTTTGGACTGCTATAACAAAGTATCATAGACTGGGTGGCTTATAAACAACAGAATTTTTTTCTTCACAGTTTTGGAGTCTGGAAGTCTGAAATCAAGGTGCCAGCATGATTGGATTCTGGTGAGGGCCCTCTTCCAGGTTGCAGACTGCTGACTTCTTGTTGTGTCCTACCATGGTGGAAAGAGAGCTTGGGAACTGTCTGGGATCCCTTTTATAAGGGCACTAATCCCAGTCATGAGGGCTCCAGTCCCATGACCTAGCTACTTCCCAAAGGCCCCACCTCCTAATACCATCACATTGGGGGTTAGGATTTTAACATACAAATTTAAGAGGGAAACAGTATTCAGCCCATAACACCCTCTAACATATTAATCATAATCATGTTAAATTCCCTGTCTAATAGTTCAAGTACTACATCAGCTGAGTCGCAGTTTCTTGATTGCTTTGTCTCTTGACTGGGTAGTTTTCTCTTTCTGTTTTGCATTTAATAATGTTTGGCTGAATGTTGGACATTGTATGTAGGACAGTAGAAACTGAGGTAAATAGTATTTATCCCTGGAAATAGATATGGCTGCTCTTCTAATAGGCCATTAGGGTGGAGGGATTGAGACCATCTAGTCAGAAGTTGGGCTGGGTTTGGGTTTTGTTGTTGCCATTGTTACCTTCAGTGTGCCATAGATTTCAAATTCCTGTAATGTTACCTTGTGCTTGGGGTAGGCACTAGTTTGCCAGAGTTTTTCTTAATGCTCGTGGACACTCTTGCCTTCAGGCCCTTCCTGTGTGCCTGCATCTCAGGGAGGGTCTCTCTCCATGCTCTTGCCTCTCCCTTAGTAGTAGACCACTGTTATTACTCAGTTCTTGCTGACCTGGTGAGTGGGGGACAGGGGTTGTCCCAGGCCATCCTCAGTTTTAGTCAGGTCCTGTGTCCCTGGATCTTGAAGGTGGGGTTTTTTCAGTGATCCTCACCCTTCTCCACTGTTAGAAGGCCTTTAATTGTCTGGGCCCAGGATGGTTTCCTGCCCTTTTACCATATTTAGTTTTTTTGTTTGTTTGTTTGGTTGGTTGGGTTTTTTTTGCCCTTTTCCCTTCCTCTAGTCACAGTGGATCTTCACCTGTGTCTCAGGGCTACAGGGTTTGCTGCTCTTCCCCAGTGGCTTAAAACTTTTGTTATGGAGGGGAGTAGGGTCCCATTAGGGCTTTGTGCCATTTCTGTATCAACAGCTGCCCCCTTGCAGACCACAGAGGGAGGCTTTCTCCAGTCTTCTGCCCTGACCTCAGTATTTTTTGTGAGCATTCAGTGGAGGTCTGTGGAGAAGATCCTGCAAGCAGGGTCCAGCTACCCTTAGATCTACAGCTTTTAGAGGTCTCCCACACTCAGCTTTTAGCAATTCATTAAAAATTCTTCCTGAAATCTTACTGCTTATATGGTGGCCCTGTCTTCCTTCCTGCTTTGCCACAGGTGACCCAGTGATAGCTTCCTATTTCCTTTGAGGTACTTGTCTTTTCTTATATTTCAAGTTGGTTGCTCTGTGATCTTAGCTCTCGGAGGGGTTCAAGTAAAGGTATGGTTTTGTAGTTACTTGGCATTTTTCTTGTTATAAGGACAGGAGCAGTGCTTTTTCCAGATACGTACATCCTAGGCAGAAGTCAGAAGTCTGGACAGTCTCCTTTGGCCACTGCCATCAGAATATATGATGCTTTTTAATGTGACTTTGCCAATTCATCCATCAAGAGGTAGAATTTCTATTTCTCCAACCTTTGAAAACTGGACTTGGCCATTTCTTTGGCAATGGGACATTAGCAAATATGGCACAAGTAGAGGCTTGAGAAGTGCTTGCACATTGAGGTTTGCCTACTCTTGCTGTTCTTTGAAATCCTGAGTCCATGTGTGAAAGAGCCTGGACTGTTCTGTTGGAAGCTTAGAGATCACATGGAGCAGTGATAGAGCACAGATCAGCCATCCCAGTTGAAGCTCCCTAGGCCAACCAGATTTTTAACTGCCAGACATAGGGATGAAGCCATCCTAGCCATCCAAGCTTGGTCAAGGCAACTGTGGTCAGTGGCCTCTGAGATGACCTGAATAATCTCCACCTCCT